CATGGTTTATATATATTTTTTTGAAGTTGTGTTTGTTTTTTGTTGTTCATTTTTTTGTGGGAGGTTTTTTTTTTTAAAGTTATTTGTTGTTGTTCAGTGGTCGAGCACTTGGGTTGAAGGAGAGGAAGTTTTCCATTTTGACTTTTCTTCCACTAGCCACATGTCATCTTCTGAAAGACAAGGTTTTAGTTTTTTTTTTTTTAAATTCACAAAGTCCTCTCTTTCTTTCCTTGTGCAGACCGCCCCTTTTTCTCTCTTGTTTTTCTTCCTCTTTTCTCTATTGTTATTTAAGTATATTATTATTATTATTATTATTATTATTATTATTATTATTATTATTATTATTATTTATTATTTGTTTTAGTTAGTTTTAATATTTGTTTGTGATTTAAGTTTAAAATGGGTTTTGTAATAATGAATTGGACTTTAGATCTTACTTGCTCATACACTCCATGTCCATTCCTATTGGCACTCTTTTTCATGTTTTTTATTTTTATTTTCTTGATTAATTAATTCATTAAAATTAGTAATTAATAAATTGATTAATTTTTATTTCTTTAGTTGATTAAATTTTAATTAATTAGTAACTTTTAATTGTTAAGTGGATTATTTGATGAATTGTTAATCAATCTCATTTTGATAAGTCATTTACATAGGTGATTTTCCTTTAAATCCATGTCCATATTACTGTACATGTAAATATCCGCACTTGATATTTTCCACAAATTCAATTTCACTAACATTTCATTCGATTTCAAAATCAATTCCAACTTTTTGCGATTTCAAATCATTTCGATGAGAACCCTTGAATGATTGGTCCTGAGGCACACGTTTTGGGTTAGTCGTCCATTCTTTCTTTCACTCCTAAAACACTTAATGAACTTGGACTAAAAAGGACCGTTGGAGTCTAGTATTCTAGTAAAACTCTTGAACAATCGATTCCAAAACATACGTCTTGTTCTTATCAAGCATTCATCGTCCATCAAACAAATTTATTAAATACGTCGAATGAAAAAGGACCGTTGGAGTCTAGCATTCCGGTGGAACCCTGAATGGTTGATCCCGAGGCTTATTTCTCATTCTCATCGAGTGTTCGTCATTTACTTATAAAACATTCAACCAATTAAACTCTTTTTTTCGCTATCGTGCGATATTAAAAAACCTTTTCACATAATTGGGGTATGCCACTTAGATTAATCAATCATTGTTGTATCTTAGTTTCGAGCTATGCCCAAATTTGTATTATGATCAATATTAAATTTCTTGTTAAGACAACTTCTTTTATGTCAGTCCATTCTAATTTCGATTAAATCATTCATGTTAAGAAGACAATGAAACAATTTATTCTTGAACTCATACGCTATATTTTGCTTCCGCTCACCATGTTTGCTTTTGTTGATTGGACTCTGATTTTGCACAAGAAAAATCTATAAAAAATAATTTAAGTGGATTGGTCTATTCAACCCTCTTTCTAGACCGTTCATCCCCATACTCTCACCCAACAATATTAAAAGCACATTAGGTTGTTTAGAAGATCATTGGAGAGAGTTGAAGGCTCACAACTCTATAGATTAAGTTATCCAAGTTCCTAATATGTATTCTCACTTTGATGAAAACTCTATAACACTGAATGTTACCTCTTAGACTCTGATTTAATTGCAAGTAAATGCATATATCATGTAATATAAGATGATTGATTCTGTATAACAGTTCGTTGAGTACTGGCTAACTTGATGTGATGATGAGCTGAACCATTAGAAACTTACTTGGTTTGATTTTTAATGAATGAGGAAACTTGGTTGGTTGACATATATTTTGAAAGAGCGACTCTACGAAATTGAGAAAATCCAATGATCCCTTTATATGGGGAGATGGGGAAAATAGGAAGAAAGATCATATGATGAGGTGAAAGACTCTGACTTACCAAAACATTATGGAGGTTTAGGACTGAAGAGACTAAATAGTATGAATGTCATCCGTCTAATGATAATGAGTTGGTTTTTATTGTTGGGGGAGCAAAGCCTTTGGAGTAAGGTTCTTTTAGGAAAATATGGTTGTGGTGGATTGGAATGAGGTATGATTGCTTTCATAAGTAGAAGTGTATTTTGGAAGGAAATTATTAAGATTTTTTCTAAGATAGAGGAGTTTAAATATTGGACTATTAGGAATGAAACCACAATTAAATCATGGGAGGATAAATGAATACATCACCATATCAGGCTTTGTGATGTGGGGACAAGATACCTCATGAAACCATAACTTGGAAGCTACAAGATGTTGTTAATGAAAATGAAGATTGAAATATGAACATGATACACGAAATAACGCTTTCATATATTAAATGAAAGTTACATGTCATTGTCCCTTCCTCACTATACAAATGGAGTGGGCTTGCACTTCTAGGCTAGCGACATAATGGAAATTCAGTATTAGTATTGCATAAGCTACTAATTTGAGTGTACATAATGTAACAATATCATTTGGCAAAAAGTGTGACAACTTGAAGTAATTGAGATGATTATTGTGTTTATGTGGCATGTTATTCATGGAAGGATATACTACTTAATGCAATGATGAGAAATTTATAGTTAGGTAACTCTTTATCTGCAAAGTTTAAGCAACTTGATAAAACTATATTTCATATTCTACATGATTGTCTATCGACAGTTAATGTCTAAAATCACTTGACTTAAATAAATCACAAGAAATTTTATTCTTACGATACAAAAACATGTTATTTATGGGTGTGATGGAGAAATCAATAAGTTCATAATGATAATTATGTTGATTCAGTCTAACTATAATGTACTACTTTTGATAATGTAAATGCTTATGAAGTTGCTCGTGATGCAAGTCAACTTACAGAATAAAGAGAAAGGTTTTGCTAATATTACTAGGTGGTCACCCCTCGAGCCTATGAATACAAGTTAATTAAAGAATTGGTTTTATAGGATTTAGACATTCAAATCTTTCACATGTTTTAAGAAGCTAACATATTTGCAAATATTTTGATTAATTAATTTGAGTTATGAAAGTAACACATACACCACTTATATTAAAACTCTTTCTCAAGAATAATTTCGACTCTATGTAATAATTGACGACATGTGGTTTTTTCCAATTAATTATGTTGTAATTATTTATTTTGGGCTTAGACCCATAAATCTTTTAATTAAAGTATAATAATCAATAGTATAAATTTTTTAAAACACTTCTGACTTAATAATGTGTATCTTTTTTGTGTGAATCAATTATTGTAAATTTACTAATATTTTTTGTGTGAATCAATTATTGTATATTTAATACTACTTTTAACACAGTCTAGAACCTAACAATATTTTAAATAATTAAAAACCGTAATCATGCACAAGTGTGCATCCAATGTATATATATCACATGATTTCATTAAGAAATGCACGTGTTAAATATGCTCCCTCAAGTCTCTCAAGCCTCAAATACAAGCCACAAACAAAATTTCTAGCCTCAAATACAAGCAACAAACAAAATTTCTAATATATATATATATATATATATATATATATATATATATATATATATATATATATATATATATATATATATATATATATATATATATATATATATATATATATATATATATATATATATATATTCTATGTTTTTAACAATTTTTAAAATAAAAAATATGAGTAAAATTAAAAAGAGTATAAAATTTAAATATATTTAAACATTTTTTTAAAGAATGATTTTTTTATAAAGTTGATTATATAGGAGATTTAGGAGTGTTCAAATAAATTGATTATTTAAATTATCTATATCTAAATTTAAATTCAGTTATTAAAAACCAATTAATTATTAATATAATTTTAACTAAAATTTTATTTTAAATATATTATTAATACTATTTTAATTAAAATCATAATTTGGACATTCATATTCAAAATAAAAACAAAATTAGTCAATTTTTTTATAAAAAAACATTTTGAACAATTTAAAAGAAAAATTGGAAAAAATTAATTTCCTTTTTTGAAAAAATAAAAAAAAAACAATTCTTTTTTATTTTTGAACATAAATATTTTTTCATAAAATAAAAAAATATTTTAAAAGAAAGTTTTTACAAAAAATATTTTAAAATAAAATTAAATCAAAATTAATTATAAAATTGATATGGATATAACCAGTTAATAAATAAATAGTTTATAACTATTTTACAAAAATAAAATTAATTATGATAATTGATTTAGTAACTGATTATGATATATAAATTATTTATGAATATGAATCAGTTATAAAAATAAATGGGAATAAATATTCTCAAAAAAAAAGTTTTCATAAAATATTATTAACTCATATTTGAAAATCAATGTATCCAAACATTTTTTTAATGTATTTATCATTCTCAATTCACTTAATTTAAATAAAAATAAAAATAATATTTTTTTTATACATTTCATTTATAAAAGAAAGTTGATTTTTTTAAATTTATTAAAGAATTAATATATTTAATTTATTATATAGAGTAAAATTTATTTAACTTAAAAAATAATTTTTTTATAAATAAAACTCGAGGTAGTATTATAAAGACTTATAACAAATAGTAATACATATTTGAAAAATATTGTTGAAGATATTTTCTTTATTTTGTTATTACTTATTAATATTATTATATTATGAGTAAGCACACACAAGGAAATATAACTTATATATATAGTCTTAAAATTAAAAGACAATAAAAATAAATTCTATTTATATAGATTTATAAACAATAAAATATAAAATAATTCCAAATAAAAAAAATCAGAAAAGAGGAGATCTAATGGTGGAGATAATTTTCAGATTTGGTGTGCAAAAAACAAAAGAAGTAAAAGAAATAAATAACAATTAAGACAAAACAAAAATAATAATAAAAGGTTGTCCATAAAGAAAGGGTAGAATAAATATAGGGTTTGGGTTTCTCAGCTTCTTCACTTCTCTTCTCTTCTCTTCCAGATCCTTCGTTTCAACCGAATCAAGCAGCCATGGTGAAGGGTCCTGGTCTCTACACTGACATCGGCAAGAAAGCCAGAGGTAGTTTTTCTCTCTTAACTCGATGATTGTGTTGTTTGAATTTTTCGATTTTTTTTCTTTTATTTTTTGTGAATTTTTTTTGGCTAATTGATGAAATTGTGATGATTTTTGTAGATCTGTTGTACAAGGATTATCACAGTGACAAGAAGTTCACTATCAGCACTTACTCACCTACTGGAGTTGTGAGTTGATTTGGATTTTTTAATTTGTTTATTGAGTTTTTTATGCTGTTTTTATGAATATGATGATGTTAATAATGTTGGTATAGTCAAAGTTTAGTTGGAGGATTTGTATGCTTTCTAACTTGCTGCATTTTTTTTATAAAGAAAAAAATGGATTATGTTTCTGATGCTTGGGTGTTTTGATGTGCGTTTTTTTACTATTTATTTGCTTCTTTTTTTTTTTGGTTTTTTTTATCCATATGCTGAATGGTTTGAAGATTTATGAGTACTGTTATCTGTAAGTGTTTTTTTAGTTGAATAATGGGATAAACGATGGTTTTGGTTATCGAATATGGTTTTTGGTAGTTAATTTTGTACTTGATTGTGTTTTTCTTTGATCCATATTATCTATGAAGATTCACAAGAGAATCTAGAGATGTTTGCTATTTAGATACATTTTAGGGACTATAATGTTTGTTTGCTCTTTTGTTTCATAACCTAGTTTAAATTAAAGTTGATTGGTTTAACCATTTTTAGATTTTAGAAGTATATTTTCCGGATTTATTAGATTTTTATGAAAATGCATGTAGTTGTGTTTATTGTTACTATCAGGTTTGTGTATTTGTAATAGTAGCTAGAGAGAGAACAATGGCATCAAGATGGAGTGGAGTACAATGGCTTTCAGGTGCTCAAATTTTAGAGCGCACTGGCGCATGTGTACTCCACACCACAGGCCACAATGCTATTATAAATTTAGTCAAATGTAGCCCGTCTTGCAGTACGTAATTGTAAAAGTTTCAGTCACCTGTTTAGGTTTTTATTTCATGTTTTCATTGTAGCACACAGGCAGTAAGTCGCCTTCGTAGTGTTTTGATTTTGTTTTCAAGACATGACCACTCTCTGCTCTGATTGTAACTAACTTCCCTCATGGCCTGCCTACCATTTTGACACTATGTTTTGCTATTTGATTTCATTGGTTTTGCTAACACATCTTTTATGTCCTTTAATTCAAGTCCACTTAGTCAACTTGTTGAAAAAGGAAAAACATTACATAAGCATCATTGCTGTCCTTTCTTATTTAGTGATTGATCTTCGTGTCACTATCAATACATCACTATCCTTTTCATTGAATATTTGTGTGTTTATGCTTTACTGACATTTATTATTTGTAGTTTAGCATTTATAGAACATGTTTTACACATTAAATTGAATGCTCTCTAAATTTGAAGTTTGAACTCTGTTTATTGTCCACTTGGTGGTAGTATATAAAGTTAAAAATATATTGTGGTTATTAAGTATGTATATTTATCCAATTTTGTTAGCTTTTTCTTTGCACTGCTATCTTTGTTGGAGCAGCAACTCGGATGCCACTCTGTATTCATAGTCTTTGAAGTGTGGCTACTCTGCTCTATGCTCCCTTGCAGTTTACTTTGACTGTATTACTTCTGAACATTCAGTGATTATTTTTTATTATTCAGTTAAGGTTGTAACAAGTTCATAGCTAAAAGAAACTGTGTATTATGCATCTTATACTCTCTGCTATATGAAGGCCTGGGTTGAAATTGATGGGTGTTTATTTGATGTATCAGTTGCAGTAACATGATTTAAAACCTCTTTTTAGCAAATTCTGTCCTATACTCACTTTTTATCTTGTGGTACAGGCTATAACATCCTCAGGAACAAAGAAAGGTGAACTGTTTTTGGCTGATGTTAATACCCAGTTGAAGAACAAAAACATCACTACTGACATCAAAGTAGACACAAATTCTAACGTGAGTTCAACATTCCTGTTTCAATATTTATCATTTTCTGCTTTTGGCAATAATGTCATCTATACTTCTTTCTGATTTGCATGCCTTGTACAGAATTGTAAAACTTATTATTGTGATTGATTCTCGATTTACCACCCTGGACGGTGTTTCCAGAAGATTCTGTTTGTTGGTTTAATCATATGTTACGATAGCATGTAAAATTATTGACTGCAACATTGAATGATTTTATGGAGATCATATACATATTTTATCTGAGTTCTAGTCATAGGTAACTAATATTTAGAAAATTTCAAAACAAATATTTAGATGTTTTTTAAAGTCATACATATATACATCATCTATGCATGTTAAAAATTGTCTGGCTAAGAATGCAAAATTTTGGGTCTCTTTTAATGATTTGTAGTCTAAGATTGATCTACTTGTTCTCTCTTTTATTGTGTCTTTCGGTGTACCAATGACCTTATTCCTTTGGTATATAAAAGTTTGTTTGAATTTTGGTTAGTCTTTAAGCCTTTGTTATTGTTGAGATTCTGGATTTACTAAAATATACCCTATACACATTCTTTTTCCTAACACACACAGGTAATACATAGTAGAATATGATGTTTTCTGGTGTTCGATGAATTAAATTCTTTTGTTTTAAACTGTTTTTCTTTACATGTAAAACCAGACCAAAATTCTTATACTCTTGGCAGTTAAATTTAGATTTATCTTTAATTACTGAACTATTTATGATCTCCATATTCTTATGATCAATTCACTTAAAGTCTGATAAATCCTTGCACAATCCAGCTTTTTACAACTATCACTGTCAACGAACCTGCTCCTGGTGTGAAGGCTATTTTAAGCTTCAAAGTTCCCGAGCAAACATCTGGAAAGGTAAGATAGTCAACCAGTTTACTTAACATCTTTCAAAACTCAAGAAAATATTTGTCTATAGTTAAACTTACATAGTTTGAGAAAGCTTTAGTTAGAATTGTCAGATAGAAGAGCCCTTGCATCGTATTCCTTTGTGGCTGTAAATTGCTTGTTCTGTTTTTTGGAACAGGTGGAACTACAATACTTGCACGAATATGCTGGAATAAGCAGCAGTGTTGGGTTGAAAGCAAACCCAATTGTCAACTTTTCTAGTGTTATTGGAACTAATGCTCTTGCTTTTGGTGCTGATCTTTCTTTTGATACCAAACTTGGGGAGCTTACAAAATCTAATGCTGCTGTGAACTTTGTCAAAGATGACTTGATTGGGTCATTGACTCTGTAAGTAACTGTTGTTCCAGTGTTTTTGGGTCATTTTCCGCTATGAACAACAATAGACATTTAATTTAAGAGTGTTTTTTTTCCTGTTATTGTTTGTGTTGTTTGATAGTATGAGTATATATGCATTTTGATGTGATTATCTCTTGTGTGCAGAAATGAAAAAGGTGACGTGCTCTCTGCTTCATACTATCATGCTATTAACCCATTGTCCAACACTGCTGTTGGTGTTGACATCAGTCATAGATTCTCAACTAAAGAGAACACCTTCACACTTGGCACCCAACACGCATTGGATCCATTGACCACAGTGAAGGGTCGCGTCACAAACTCAGGCAAGGCGAGTGCTCTTATTCAGCATGAATGGCGTCCAAAATCACTCGTCACCATTTCAAGTGAGGTAGACACCAAGGCCATTGAAAAGAGTGCTAAGATTGGATTGAGCTTGGCTCTCAAACCTTGATGTAGTTTTGATCCTTCCTGGCAAGAAACTGAGGTGTAGGCTTTAGGAAGCATAGTTTGTCGGATTGATGTTGGTTCTCTTCTTGGGTAAGAAGTGTTCAAGGTGTTTTCTTTGCAGTTGAGCAATTCAACCTTGAAGAAATAAATAGGTTTTTTTATGAACCAAATGTTGTTACTCTTAAATGCCCACAGGCAAAACAAGCCTCTTTTGTTATGGTATTCTTTTGCAGCAAAATTTCTTTACTTTGCGTATATCTTGAGGTATGATGCTTGTTTTGATATTTCCTAGCATTCCTGTCTTCATTAAGACTTGAATGCAATGGCTCTTTGTGGGCTCTTTTTTTTCCTTCCATTCCTAAGAGGCATGTTTTTGGAAATCTATTCTTGTGTTTAAATAAGTTTTGAATTTGCTAATTATTGTGATTTTAGTTCTAGGAAATCTTATGTTGTACAATGCTATAATTTTCCACAACTTTTTGGAATTTTATATTCACTATATTAGTTTATTTTGTTTTACAAAACTATTTAACTAATCCATCTCCAACTATTTTCTACAAGAAGAAAATTAACTTGAAAATAGGGCTGGAAATGAGTCGAGTCGAGTCGAACTCACCTCAGCTCGGCTCGACTCGTTAAGAATTGTTCAAATTCGAGTTCGAGTTTGACACGAACTTTTTTTTAAGCTCAAATTCGACTCGTTATAAGTTCACGAACAGTTCGATTCGACTCGTTAGGTCCATCTCATTAGGTTCAGCTCACATGGTTCACGAACTTAAAAACTATTTTTTTTAAATATATATATTTTTTAGTATATTTGACATTTTAAATAAATATATATATTTTAAATAAAATATTAAAATAAAATAAAAGTTATCATATTGAAATTTAACTTTATCTTCGAAATCTACTAATTCAAAACCTACACAACTTTCAAGAGATACATTTGAGAGTCTAATTCAAAAACTACTAAATTGAAGATTAAATTTGTCTAAGATTTGAAGTAAATATTTAAACCTAATCTTAAAGACAGTATAATTCTTTTCATATGTAATCGAGTTGACTCATGAACCTAACGAGTCGAACTATGTATAGTTCAAGTTCAGCTCATTTAGTTAACGAACTTAATTTTTCGCTCATACTCAACTCATTTGGTTCATAAACCTAGTTCAACGATTTAATTGTCGAGTCGAATTCCGAACTATCTTCGAGTTGGTTTGGTTCATTGCCAGCCCTACTTGAAAAGGACAATCTACTAGATAAGGTTGTGCTAGTAATATTCAGCAACGTAGTTAATGGGTTGGGAATTTATTAAGGCACCTATATATTATTAGGATATCGTAAAAATACAAATGTGTTTTTTGATTTGAAGATGTATATTTGGACATACTTGAGATGCAATTTGGATTTAATGATATATAAATTATTGAGATGCATAGTTGTACATTTTGGAGATATATATTTTAACATTATTTGTTTTAAAACCTGCTAGAACTATTCTCTTTCCACACTTCTAAAAAAAAAAAATTAAATATTTTTCAAACTCTTGCAACTCATGTTTTCTCAAAATCAATTAATTAAATTCAAATTTTTTTCCATTAATATCAAGTACATTAAAGAGATTATTCAACAATGAAGTAATCTCACAACTCGTAAATTTTGAGTTTTTGTATAAATGAGTAGAAATTGATGATTAGGTTGAGAAATAGATAGTGTTTGCATGATTGGTAGTTTATATATAATGAGAAACGCGTTTGATGGTCAAAAATACGGTCAATGTATTATTTTTAGGAGTTTGGTGATCTGCATTATTGCCATTGACGTAACTGAAAGTTGCAGAAAATTTCAAAGATGCATCTTTAGAAATTTTTAGTGTTTGGATTCCTAGAAATCAGAGATGTTCTACGTAATTTATTTGTCTACTTATTATTATTATTATTATTATTATTATTATTATTATTATTATTATTATTATTATTATTATTATTATTATTATTATTATTATTATTATTATTTTGCTTTTCTTGCTTGTAGGGTTAGTTGTAATAATTGTGTGGCATTTGTCTGGTTTACTTACATGCATAATGGCTGATAGAGACGACAAACTGAGACACTGGATGATTGGATATCATGCATCTGGCAGGAGGAAAAAGAGTCAGGTTTTGGAGGCTTATGTTCTCTCTAGCCCGATTCATGCGGAGACATCGACTTCTAGGGCTCATATATCTCTACCTTCTTCTTTTTGTAGGAGACGAGTGTTACCTAGTGCCGCATCACTGCCTCCATCTTTCTGTAGGCGATAAGTTTCACCTATTTAGGCGCTAGAGGTACCCGAGTCACCAAAGGTACTTGAGGCACCAATGCCACCCCAGGCACCAGAGGGACCTTATGCTGATGAGCTAGTGCCACTTCAGGATGATGATACCGATGAGCTAGTGTCATTTCAGGCTGATGAGCCGTGCCACCTCAGATATTTGGAGAAGGTCCTCTAGAGTTGTCACTACTGCCTCTTTATTCGAACCATACAGTCAGACATATTTGGGACAGAGAGGTAAATTAGTTGGATATTTTTTTTATTATTTAAAAATTACTTTTATTGTTATATTGTAAGTTTCAAACGTTGATTTATTTTTCTACAGGACTGTGATCCATTGAAATTCATTAACCATGGGCAGAAGATTACTGGTTTGGGTTAGCCTAATGACAAGTGGTTTTAGTATGCTTTGTCCCTATCTGAGATGAAGGACTCATGTAAGACTAGTTATGTTACGGTAACCACAAGATGCATAATGCAAGACAAATATCATCACACTTCTGACGATAATATTTATTTGTCTTTTAGTGTTTGTGTCTCATTTTCATTACATTTTTGCAACACCCTTATTGATGTTTCGTGTGTTCCAACATTTTTTCAGGCTTGAATCTTTCAACATTTTCCGTCCATCTCCGACTGGTCGCGTGTATCGACCTATACTGAGGATATGCTGCGTGCTTCTATATTTTCCCATTTTAGAGGGAACCATGCGACATATCCGTTTCGAGTGTACTTGATTGCTTGGTAGTCGAGGATATGCACTTTAACAACTATGTCGATCATCGTGAGACACGACCATTAGACGATATAGTGTTATACTTGGGATGGTTGGTTTACTGTTCACGTATGACATTTCCTCATCTGCCTGAGCGCGTTATGAGACAGTTCGGCTACACTCAGACTATTTATAGACACCATGTTGTCTCTTCTCCTCTTGATATGGCCCATATAGATATGAATGTCATGTTTGATGATTATCTTAGTCATCTGCTACTGGAGGAGGCACGAAGTATCATAACTGAGAGCGATTAGAGCTATGTCGATATCATGTGGTTCTTCAGGGTGTCACATCCGTATATAGCGCAGGCTGCTCCAGAAGATCCACCGAGGCCAATTTATCAGGAGATACTAGAGGAAGAGCAAACACAATTAGACCATACTTATGATATCTTTCCTGGATGTCGTTGCATCATGGAGATTGCGCATGCAGACATTGACAAAGGTATCTTTTCTGATGGTTATGAGGTGAGGGAGGTCCTAGATGCCATTATAACGGAGGCAAGAGAGACACTAATGTACTAGAGACAACGTCAGATGATGGGGGGCAGAAGAGACCGAGGAGCCTGAGGAGCTCTAGTCTGGCATACACAGTAGTTGATAGTATTTGTACTTTGGATTTATTATCGATTGTATTTTATTTTGTCTTATTTCGACTTTATTGTGTATCAGCCGATGAATTATTTTGACTATCTGAATTTATATATGTAATTTTTTGCATATCATTTTGTTGCACCCCAAAATTTGACCAACAATTATTTTGAATGTTTGAAAATGGATACCTTCATCAGAAAGTTCAAGAGATCCTCAGAGGAGTGGGTTGAAACCAGGGTTGTATGCTTCATAGCTTGAGAGTTGTGGGTGCCCCTCAGATGATTCTGAGACTTTGAGAAAGAACTTGATGTTTTGAGAAAGCCTATGAGATGTCTTGATAGCCATCATAAAGCCCAGAGAGGTCATTATGCAAGAGTTTAGAGGATTCAACCATGAATGGTAGAATTAGGGTTTTGACTGGGTCAACCCTAGGATAACTGAAAATTTGGAGAAGGTTGAGACTTAATCCAAGGGCCATGAGATCATGGAATGATGTATAGAGATGTTATAGAGATGATTCCTAGACCAACTCATCATGATTGAGGAGTTTGAGGAGTTTTGAGTTAGGGTTTCTGAGGATTGTCAGTGAAAAAACCCTAATCTGATCCCTATCTTCCAGGCAGTTTTAGCTCAAGATGTGATTGATATCTCATCTTCCCCATAACATGAATGTTGTAGAGCTTGTTCTAAGCTTTAATTTGAGTGGTGGAAGTCCTTGATAGGAGTTACAGAGCCCAAGTTATGTTTTTGACAAATTACAGGTCAGCAGAGATGTGTGAATCTGGGTCCTTGAAAGTCACCCAACTTGCAGACAACGTTTGCCCTAGTAGGATGATTCCTATGGTTTCTTGGTCAACATGAATGTTGAAGAGCATCTTCTTAGCTTTAATTTGAGTGGTAGAAGTCCTTGATTGGATCTGTGGAACTCAACTTATGGTTTGAACAAGACAGGGGTATTTTGGTCATTTGTCAGTTATAGGTCATTTTAGCCAATGCCTAAAACTCCTATTTCCAAGCCTCAAATGGAAAAACTCAAAACATGAAAGTTGCTCAAAATGTGATTTTAAGTCTAGAAAGAAGGTCACAAATTGTTGGAAAAGCTCATAGCATGAGATTACATGATTGGTCAAAAATGAACTAAAAAAGGCTTATAACTTTGAAAAGTTGAAATTGAAAAGTGATTTGGAAGATCCACAAATCCAAAATAGGTCATCCAATATATCATTTTGATTGGAAAAACCATTTTGAGAACTTTGGTATAAATAGATTTTTCATTTGAGGTCTAAAAATGGGTGATGCTTTGAAAAGTCATTACTTGA